TGTTGGAGCTGTGATACAAAGACTATCTATCTTCCTGCAAAGTCAACATTCTCCCCACTTCATCATACTGTGAGCTAAGAGAAGCTTCCTAAGCTGCTTTTAGAGAAAAGAGAGATTTAATATGTACCAGTGTCCCTGGATCAGCTCTCACATATCTGCTCTAAGTTGAGTTCATTGAGAAACCTCAATATAGTGGTTCCAGCACAGAGAGAATGCTTGGTTCTTATGATAGGCACAGACCTTGAGCTGAGGAAGGCCTCTCTTAAATAGGATGTGACATGAAAATAAAATTCAGCTGACATCCAGTGGAAAATCCAAAATCTGGGACTTTCACAGGTATAATTATAGTGATTTTTAACATTCTAAGATAGAGCTTCCCTCTAAAGACAATCCGGTAGCCAATAGCGCACTAGCTTCCTCAACTGGGCCTAAAATCCAAGTGGGATCACCCCTGAGAACCCAGAGCGGTGTGGATGTGGAATGAGCAGAGATCATGAGAAGAGTAGAACGAGGCCCACATCCAGAGAAATGGTGTAGCTGAGACTAGCTCTGGGCTCCAGGCCTCTGCTTCATTGGGCCAAACGACCTCTCAGAACCCAGGCAGGCGAAAACCTCTGCGGGTGTCATCAAGGTGATCCTTAGAAACCATCACTTTGGTTCCTTTCCAAACGGTGTGCAGGCCCTGGTAGAACCACACTGTTCTCCAGAATTGCAGCAGAAATGATCTGACGTGTGTCCACTTGTGCCCTGGCACTAATAACACCTTATAGCTATTACAGGGGGGAAATGGAACATTGAGAAGTGAGGAAACTTACTTAAGGACACAGACACCATAATAACAATAACTTAATTGCATAGCTCTGTGATTATACTGAAAACCACTAAACTGCACACTTTAAAAGGTACAATTTCCCCTGAACAGTGTTTGGATCATCCCATGCACCGGAAGGTTGTGAGTTCAGTCCCGGTCAGGGTGCATAGGAGAAGCAACCTATTGATGTTTCTCTATCACATCAATGTTTCTCTCTCTCTCTCTCTCTTTCTCTCTCTCTCTCTCTCTCTCTCTCTCTGTCTCTCCCTTCCTCCCTCTAAAATCAATAATAATAAAATAGATTGAATTTTATGGTATGTGAATTATATCTCAGGAAAAGTGTTATTTTAAAAAAACCAAATCATGATTTACCTTTTGAAGCAATCATTTTGACAGAGAAGTAGTATTTTTGCCTTTAAAGGCCTCTTGTTGGATCCTAATTTATTTTTATCAAACATGATTGAGCACCTATGTGTAAAACACTGTTAGATGCCAAATATTTTTTAAGGAACTTATAATAATTATACAGTTTACTAAGCATTTATGCTAAGTTAATCCTAAACAATTTTATAAATTATCTTAAGTAATCTCCACCAGTGATGTAAGTAATGTAAGTATTACTATTCCCATTATAAAAGTTGGGAAACATGTTCAGAGGCTTAGATAATTGCCCAAGAAATACGGCCAGAAACGACAGCTGGAATTTGAGCTCAAATCTTTCTAACTCCTAAGTTTATACTTTTATCTATTATGCTAAGCAGGTTAGAAGAAGAAGAGAAATCTAGACACAAAGAATACAAAAGAGTGAATGCTAGAGTTCTGTGAGCAGTTGAACCATGGAACAGGTTTCCAAGTTCTGACCTAGAACCCTGGAGTTGCAGGGCAAAGATGGCTTTAAAATCTGTGTGGAGACCGGGGGTCTGAAAGGCAGTCATTGCAACAAACACAAGCATAATTCCAAAAAATGAGTACAACTGAAAACGACCATAACATCCAAGGAACCACAAAACTTTTTGTGTGGTCACTTTGGTCTAGGCCAGTGATGGCAAACCTTTTGAGCTCGGCGCGTCAACATTTTGAAAAACCCTAACTCTGGTGCCGTGTCACATATAGAAATTTTTTGTTATTTGCAACCATAGTAAAACAAAGACTTATAGTTTTGATATTTATTTTATATATTTAAATGCCATTTAACAAAGAAAAATCAACCAAAAAAATGAGTTCGCATGTCACCTCTGACACGCGTGTCATAGGTTCGCCATCACTGGTCTAGGACTCGCTGGCTATGAGAGCAATGGGTGTAGCTCAGTGGTGTGGCCATTAACATTTTGTGAACACACACTCTAAGTGTTTGCTAAGTCCCAGGCACTGTCCAGCTTTGGGGTGAATGATATGATGGCTCCCCTGAAGGAGTGCCCAGATAGGAACAGATCAACCCCACATATGTGGTATATACCTGGCTAAGTGCAGGGCCCTCATATCAGACCGCATGGGTTTCTATCCTAGAGTGGCCACTTACAAGCTGTGATCTGGGATAAATTATTAAATTTCTCTATGCTTTCATTTCTTTATTTGTAAAATGAGAATGAAAATACTGACTTTACAGAGTTATTGCGAGGGATAAATAGATAAGCATGTAAAACCTTCTAGTCTAGAAGATAGTAGATATTTAAGTAATGATAACTGCTATCTTCATCAGTCATCATCTTCATCATCATCATCATCATCATCATCACACCTGGTGGCAAGGTACAGAAAAGCTGGTTCTTCCTGCCTACTACGGCCTTCTGACTATGTTTGCTTCCCGCAGGTATTATATTTGATATACTTTATGTATATAAGTGGCATTTTCCCAAGCATTCAGGTCCAAAGCTGCCAGACTACCAATGGATAAAAGAAAGCCCCAGAAGAAAGTTCACTCTAAATTTACTCTGAACACATCTGAAAATATTACTTCTGTGTTTAGCCCATTAACTTATACTTTTATAGTCTAGAAAAGAGCCTTCAAAGGGCCAGAGAACATGTTTCTTCTCTTCCTGGTTGACAGAATTCTTTTTACTATTTTTTCATTTTTGTGTGTGTGTTTGCATGGATCTGACACTTCTAAAACAAAGCAAAATTTTTGCATAATAGGCAAATATAATCAAAACACAGAGATAAGCTAATATAAAGGTTAAGAGCAAGGGCATTGTCATAAGGTAGATATAGGTTCAAACCCTGGTTCCTCCACCTATTCTTTGTATGAACTTGGAGATGACTCGTATACTCTGAACCTATTTCTTCATTTGTAAAATGGGGAAAAAATAAATATCTCATAGAAATGTGGTGAAGATTAAATGAGATGATATGTGAAAAGTCTTCGGCATAATATCTTGCACATAGCAAAGTCTCAATAAATGTAAATTATTATTGCAAAAAGACATATTAGGTGAGCCTAATGGCCTACGTTCATTTTCTTTCTTTTTTTTAATCCTCACCCAAGGGTATGCTTTTATTGATTTTTATAGAGAGAAGGGGAAGGGGAGATGAAAGAGAGAGAGAGAGAGAGAGAGAGAGAGAGAGAGAGAGAGAGAGAGAGAGAAACATTGATATAAGAGAGAAACATTGATATAAGAGAGAAACATTGATTGTTTGCCTCAAACCGGAAACCTAGGTATGTGCCCTGACTGGGAATCAAGCCTGAAACCTTTTTGGTGCACCGGATGACTCTCCAACCAACTGAGTCACCTGGCCAGGGCACCTACGTTCATTTTAATTAAATAAGCATTTATTGCATACCTGCCAAGTACCATACAGTTTGCTACCTTTCTCGTGGTATTACATAAAGGGGATGAACTACACGAGTCCTCTAAAACAGAATCTGCTTTTCACAAGTGTGTGGCCCTGAAAAAAAGTGACCTGCAGCATGTCCTCATGTTAGAAGGAGCTTCAGTACCAGCCTTTCTGCAATCATCTCATAGATGAGAATGCAAAGAAGTAGGAAGGTAAACATGGACAGAGGTGGAGTTAGGTTTGATTGGAAATTAATCAGTCCATCCCACAGAGGGCAGCACCCACATGGTTAGCTATATAAGGGCCACTATCCCAATCATTGTCACCCTGCAAGCTTCATCAGGCTTTTTTCCTACTTGTTCCTTTGGTGAACCAGGTAAGAGAAAATTTATCCATCTATATCGATGGATATTTGGTTGGTCATTGTCCACAGCAGAAATCCAAAAATTTGAGCTAAGGCAGAGTTAATATATATTTGGCCTTTCTTTCTTTTTTCTTTTTCTACCGATGTATCTTTTTTTTTCTAATCACTGTCATTTATATTATTCTTTTCTTTTTATTTGCTTATTTGTTTGGCTAGTTTAATTTATTCTGGGACCTTTTTAGAATAAATTTGTCATTGTGGAGAAGAGTAATTCAATGGAAGTTTGTCTTCTTACAGGCCATTCCACACTTTCTTCCTAGTCTTTTCACGTGCCATCTTTTCTGGACTGCCAAGTTCAAATGGGGGGAGGCTGGCACTGTTGTAGAGTCCCTTCCTTGTTCAGTGTCAGTTCCCAGAGCTCCCAGATCAAATTATCTACTAGTCAAATTGCTGCTGCATTTCTGAGCCTTTCTCCCTGATGAATGAATTAGGTCAAGATAGTTCCTAAGCTCTCAGGAGGGCTATCTCAGGCCTCTGGAAAACCAAGAACGCATTAGCTCACTTTGCCCATTTTTTTTTTTATTTTCTGAAGGTCTTAAGGGTCCAGTTTAGCTTTTGGTAGAAGGTCTGTTGCTTTTGACTCTAGAAAATCAGTGAAACTAGCAAGAGAAACTTGGGGAAAATGTCTAGGCGGTTCTAGAAAATTTGGAAACCCACGGACAACACCCAGGACACCAAAGTACGCAAAGTGTAGAGACATTAAGAAAAGAATATATTCATCCAGGCCATGGAGACCTGAGATTTAGTCCCAGTTCAGCCAGTAACATATCCATGACTAATGTTAACAAAGTTATTTTTCACTGTGTTGAAAGGTTTTGTATCATCCTGACCCATATTTATTTTTTGAGGTATTTTAGGTTTTAAAGAGACAAGAGATTTGAAAACTCATGATGACGATTATTAAAATCAGAACTGCCTATAAATTAAAAGGAAAGAAAATTAATGATAGACTCTTTTGTTTTTCTCTTTAGGTTCACTTAAACGTGCAAAAAGATGACCGACCTCTTAAGAAGTGTTGTCACCGTCATTGATATTTTCTACAAATACACCAACAAAGATGGGGAATGTGGCACACTGAGCAAGGATGAGCTAAAGGAACTTCTAGAAAAAGAGTTTCGGCCAATTCTGAAGGTGAGGACCATGTGCTAGGACTAAAGGTTTCTACGGTCTTGTACATTCTCTGTTATATAACCAAATATTAGCTAATATTAGTTCCAGTAGTCTTTGAGAAAACTCTATAAGCAGTACTTTTTTGGGACATCAGAAAGTCTGTTGAGGCAGTGTGTATTTTTAGAAAAGTGACTTGTTGTTTCCTCATTTTCTTGTATATTTCCACCATGTGGACTCTCAGACTTCGTCATGCCTCCCAAGCTTCCCATTCTGAAAGAGCAGAAAATGAAATCTGTACTAAGACATGAATTAGTAAGTTACCCTATCAAATGGGGAAGAAAAACTATAGAAAGAGAAGTCATATACAGGGGCAGCTGACCAAGTAGCCAGGATAACTAAAAACAGAAAACAAAATACATGAGTTTTTTCCATCTACTTGAAAAGGATGCAGCTATTGACTTCGAAAGTATAGATCCCGACATAGAATATATTAGCATATGATGTTTTAAATGTATGCAAAACTAAAACACACCAGTACTGAACTTTGTTTATCCAACTCCTTCCTGTATGCCATATTTGAGTACCTAGTTCTCTAACTTAGGTCCTTGAATTGTATTCTCCTGAGGATTCCAATAGCTTTATTTTTTTTATTACTTCTTCGCACCTGCTGGGTCCTATTAGTCTGCCTTAGCCTAAAGCAATCCTTGATTGGATTAAAATAGTTCATGTCAAATATCTACAATTTCATAGTCCTATCTGAATATTTTAACTGAGTATGTGGGTTAGGCTGATCAAGATTCCTTTGGTGTGTTGCTCATATACAGAACCCAGATAATCCAGACACGGTGGAGGTCATTATGCATATGCTGGATCGAGATCATGACCGAAGACTGGACTTTACTGAGTTTCTTCTGATGGTATTCAAGCTGGCTATGGCCTGCAACAACGTTCTTAACAAAGAATACTGCAAAACTTCAGGGTCAAAGAAGCAGAAGCGTAGTCATGGTCACCAGCACCAAAAGAAAGAAAGTGAAACAGAAGAAGAAGATGAGAATACATCAGAACAGAAATCAGGTCCTAGAAATTCAAGTTGGAGTGAGGGAGAGGAGCATGGTTCTGAGGGCTTGAGGGGAACTGCGAAACATAGACATAGGTCCCACTCCAGAAGTCTGGGAAGGGAAGGTAGTTTGTCTAGCTCAGAGAAACAAGAGGGATTTGAGAAAAGGCGCCATGGGTCTAGCTCTGGCCACTCAGTTAGCCCCTCTAGGGAATCTGGGGAGGAATCTGAATCTGAATCTGGATTTAAGAGCGGGGAAAGGAAAGGTCATGGTGGTCTGTCACATGGATTAGAGGCTATTGCTTCTAGCTCTAAAGGTTCAGGAGATAGTGGGAGACAAAGCTATGCATGTGATTCCATCAACTCAAGTGGGTGTGGAGGAAGACAAAATGTTTCCAGCTCCTGTCAGGCAGGCAGATATGGAGGGCAAGGAAATAAATCTAGCTGTATTCAGTCAGGTTGTCAATCACGAAATAGTGGAGGACAAGGTCAGAGATGCATCTCAAGAGGTCAGTCCTCTGGATATGGCCAATGTAAGCCTCGCTCCTGTAGCCCACCTTCTTGTCATAGAAGAAGACATGGATCCCCGGCATGTTGTCAACCACAGAACTGTTGTCAACCACAGAACTGTGGAAGACAACAGGGAAGAAGATCAAGACAGTCCTCTTGTGGTAGACAATATGGGTCTGGAGCAAGTCAGTCTTCTAATTGTGGTCAACAGGGAAGAAGATCAAGGCAGTCCTCTTGCTGTAGCCAATATGGGTCTGGAGCAAGTCAGTCTTCTAATTGTGGTCAACGGGGAAGAAGATCAAGACAGTCCTCTTGTGGTAGCCAATATGGGTCTGGAGCATGTCAGTCTTCTCATTGTGGTCAACGGGGAAGAAGATCAAGACAGTCCTCCTGTGGTAGCCAATATGGGTCTGGAGCAAGTCAGTCTTCTAATTGTGGTCAACAGGGAAGAAGATCAAGACAGTCCTCTTGTGGTAGACAATATGGGTCTGGAGCAAGTCAGTCTTCTAATTGTGGTCAACACGGGTCTGGCTCAGGACAGTCCTCAGGTTTTGGACAACATGGGTCCAGTTCAGGTCAGACCTCTGGTTATGGCCAACATGGATCTGGCTCAGGTCAGTCCTCTGGTTATGGCCAACATGGATCTGGCTCAGGTCAGTCCTCTGGCTTTGGACAACATGGGTCCAGTTCAGGTCAGTCGTCTGGCCATGGCCAACAAGGATCTGGCTCAGGCCAGTCCTCAGGCTTCAAACAACATGGGTCTAGCTCAGGACAGTCATCTGGTTTTGGAAAACATGGATCTGGCTCAGGTCAGTCCTCAGGCTCTGGAAAACACAGGTCTAGCTCAGGTCAGTCATCTGGCTTTGGACAACACGGGTCTAGCTCTGGTCAGTCATCTGGTTTTGGACAACATGGTTCTGGCTCAGGTCAGTCCTCTGGTTATGGCCAACATGGATCTGGCTCAGGTCAGTCCTCTGGTTATGGCCAACATGGATCTGGCTCAGGTCAGTCCTCTGGTTATGGCCAACATGGATCTGGATCAGGCCAGTCCTCAGGCTTCAAACAACACGGGTCTAGCTCAGGTCAGTCATCTGGCTTCAAACAACATGGGTCTAGCTCAGGACAGTCATCTGGTTCTGGAAAACATGGGTCTGGCTCAGGTCAGTTGTCTGGCCATGGTCAACACGGATCTAGCTCAGGTCAGTCCTCAGGCTTAGGACAAAAGGGATCTGGTTCAGGTCAGTCTTCTGGCTATGGCCAATATGGGTCAGGTTCAACTCAGTCTTCTGGCTTTGACCATCAACAATCAGGTTCAGGACATTCCTCTAGCTCTGGAAAACATAGATCTGGTTCAGGTCAATCTTCTGGCTTTGACCAGCATGGGTCTAAAACAGGCCAATCCAGCTCAGAATATCATAGTGGAAGAAAGAGATCTAGTCACAGTGAGTCCAGTGGCAGTAAAAGGCATTCCGGAGGCTCACAGGGACACTCAGGGTCCAGTCATGGCCAGGCTTACGGACATTCAGGAGACACCTACAAACATGGGCAGGCAGGTCAAGGACATTCCTCACAGTCAGGATCTAGCAAAAGTGGAAGAAGGGGATCTAGTCACAGTGAGGCCAGTGGCAGTAAATGGCATTCTGGAGGCTCACAGGGACACTCAGGGTCCAGTCATGGCCAGGCTTACGGACAGTCAGGAGACACCTACAAACATGGGCAGGCAGGTCAAGGACATTCCTCACAGTCAGGATCTGGCAAAAGTGGAAGAAGGGGATCTAGTCACAGTGAGTCCAGTGGCAGTGAATGGCATTCTGGAGGCTCACAGGGACACTCAGGGTCCAGTCATGGCCAGGCTGGATCTCAGCATGGAGAGTGGGGATCCTCTGGTAGAGGGAGACAGGGAACTACTCATGGACAGT